CCTGCCCTCTCCTCTTCCTCAACAATCTCTGCTAACCTGCCCTCTCCTCTTCCTCAACAATCTCTGCTAGCCTGCCCTACCTCTCGAGTCACACTCATTTTCCCCAAGTAAACTCTTCTATGCCACGGTCTAGCTAAAAATACCTCTGACCCACATTTGTCATTGTTACATGCAACCGGTGGCTGCATCTTCTCCCCTCAATTTTCTTGCCGGGACCACTTTGCCACACCGCTGGGTGGACTGCAGGTTCTCACGAAAACTGTTTGTTCATCTAGTGTCTCGGAAATTTATTCGGATCGTGAGTGGGTTTCGATATTTCATAGACCCCATTCACCCATTCATCCCTTTCACCTGTTCAGAGTTTCGTAAAGTATCAGGACTACCGTAAGCTGTCTTTTGATATGAGGATTTTCGCTGAACCAATGATTGATACTTGGCCTAAGCCTAAGCCAAGGCCAATGAACATGCTATATTCTAGGAATCAAAGTAACAGCTCGGGAAATTTTTTCCGCATTTTTTTGCGCAGCCTCTGTTGGCTTGAAGTGGCATTGTTAAAGTTGAGAGATAGCGAGAGAGAGAAAGAGAGAGAACGAGAGAGAGGGAGACGCCCAGACAGACAGTCGGATTTCCCAATTCGAAAAGTGTACGGGCATCTTTTTTTGCGACTGGGAGGTGGTACCGCCCTTTGATTGCACTCCAAATAAGCACCCGCAGCCCCCCCCCCATCTTTAAAAATATTTACACATCACTGCCACCATCTCACAAATTGATACCATCAATTGGGCAGTCTTTAAAGCCCAGAAGCTATTTCCCAAAAACGTGCCCCTGAAGCCATGACTTCGGCTAGCAGATTCCGGTTGTATTGGGCGAATTTTTGCGCCCGGATTGGTGGTCAGGTTGGTGTGATGCCTTGAAAATCGCATACTTTTTCGACGGTTCGGTTAAAAGCACTGGAACGGCTAAAGGAACAGCTGGTTACTGTAGGATTGTTGTCAAATAGAACTGTCTTGGAAAATCGGTAGCTCTGACTTTTTCCGAATAGAGAAATTTGATGATCAATTTTTTTTAGATCGGTTAATGCTGGCTCAAAACAAGCATTATTAGAGATTTGCAAACGATTTTTAAAGTATCAGGAAAATACGTGAGAAAATCCTATATTTTAAAGTTTTTGGGACCTCTACGACTATCAAAAAAATCACCAGTCATTTCCAAGCCGATTACGCTATGTGAATCAGTAAAGCACTTTTTTAATACGTACGATACCAGGTTTTTTTAATACGAAAACGTACGTACGACGGACGGAAAAACATGCGACAGATACCTCCCATTAATACAAAAACCATATATAGCGGAAATGGAGGTCGCTACTCTGCTGTCGACAGGTGGCTTCCGTAGCCTCGGGCTATGCTTTTGAACTTATCAGCGCAGATCTTATGAACTAAATCAACCTCTAAAATACTGATTCTAACAACGCGCACATTACCTAACCATCAGCTTTCCTGGATTTCTCACCTGATTCCGATTGGCTACTGTATACGACGTAATACCGATCATTTAGATGAGCAGCTCGAATGACTTGGTGGCCAGGCTGCTGTTTCGGTTGTCGCCGTTCTTGCGCGTGACGATCGTGCTGAGTGGGGCCGTGCTCGTACATCTCACGCTGGGAACATATCATACTTTTGGTTAGTTTTTTAGTGAGCTTCTTCGTCTCTCTCGTTCTCTCTCTCACTCTCTCTCTCTCTCTCTTTCACTTGGTGCTAGCTCTCAAACCCAGAATTTTTGGAATGAGAACCAAGCTAGCAGAGATTGCTTAGCAAGAGGAGAGGGCAGGTTAGCAGAGATTGTTGAGGAAGAGGAGAGGGCAGGCTAGCAGAGATTGTTGAGGAAGAGGAGAGGGCAGGCTAGCAGAGATTGTTGAGGAAGAGGAGAGGGCAGGCTAGCCAGAGATTGTTGAGGAAGAGGAGAGGGCAGGCTAGCAGAGATTGTTGAGGAAGAGGAGAGGGCAGGCTAGCAGAGATTGTTGAGGAAGAGAAGAGGGCAGGCTAGCAGAGATTGTTGAGGAAGAGGAGAGGGCAGGCTAGCAGAGAATGTTGAGGAAGAGGAGAGGGCAGGCTAGCAGAGATTGTTGAGGAAGAGGAGAGGGCAGGCTAGCAGAGATTGTTGAGGAAGAGGAGAGGGCAGGCTAGCAGAGATTGTTGAGGAAGAGGAGAGGGCAGGCTAGCAGAGATTGTTGAGGAAGAGAAGAGGGCAGGCTAGCAGAGATTGTTGAGGAAGAGGAGAGGGCAGGCTAGCAGAGAATGTTGAGGAAGAGGAGAGGGCAGGCTAGCAGAGATTGTTGAGGAAGAGGAGAGGGTAGGCTAGCAGGGATCTTTTCCAGTTCAAAGGCTAGCTAGCAGAGATCGCTTGTGAACCCAGCTCAGCATGCATTTCAGGCAACATGCTCCCCTATATGGCCTCCTACCTCCGGAATTACACGGACCACAACGTGCGCATCGAGCATATGATGTGGATTCCGATGCTGCAGGGTTTGCAGTTTGTAGCCTACCGTAATTCTCTTCTTTTAGGCGCTTTTCCGTTCGCGATGGTGATTGGCGGTGCGTTGTCGCTAAAGCTCGGGTCGAGGACGGCAGCGGTTATCGGATGCTCAATTTGCACGTAAGTTTTTGTACGCTTTTGACGTCGATTTGATCTGATACGATAGCTATTAATGCGTGCGATAAATTAAGATAGCGGTTTGAGGATCGTTAAGCCCAATGACGATAACTTTGTTCCAGGCTGGGCGTCTACCTCTCCTCACTTTCCATCAAGCACTCCCTTCCCGCTTTCACATTCACCTACGGGCTGCTGTTCGGCATCGGCGAGGGGATCAGCTACGTTGTGGCCGTCACCTGCGTCATTAATGTGCGAGAATTGTCAAACATTTTTGAATACTGTAAAAATAGCTATAACAAAGGCCTACGATGGCCTTAAAAACCAGCGTTCCTTTTTTTCCTTTGGGGCGATTTTTCTGAATCCCTGTAACCGTTTTAAACTTAAAAACCAAAGCCTTACAGTGGGCCCCTGACCGAGTTGGCCTTGTCTCCGGAATCGTGGCTGCCGGCTTCGGCTTGTCGTCTTCGATCTTCGCGCCGATACAGACAGCTCTCGTCAACCCGTGGAACCACCCGGCCACCAAGGATGGGTAGGTTCAAATGGCTAAAGCCTACGCCTAAGCCGAATCCTAAGCTTATGTCTTAGCTTAAACCTAAGCCTAATCCTAACACTTAATACATGAAATTATTACCTTTGCGTTGCAGCTACTTCGTGCAGCCTGAACTGCTCGAGCGTGTGCCGCAAGTGTTCCTCACCCTCTCCACCGTATATCTGATTATGCAGTGCATCGGGGTGATTGTCATCTGCGATCCGCCGGAGACGGTATGTTCTATGAGGAAGCTTTTCACAAATATTATCGAACTTGAAACTGCTCCAATTTCCTCAACAATCTCTGCTAGCCTGCCCTCTCCTCTTCCTCAACAATCTCTGCTAGCCTGCCCTCTCCTCTTCCTCAACAATCTCCTGCTAGCCTGCCCTCTCCTCTTCCTCAACAATCTCTGCTAGCCTGCCCTCTCCTCTTCCTCAACAATCTCTGCTAGCCTGCCCTTTCCTCTTCCTCAACAATCTCTGCTAGCCTGCCCTTTCCTCTTCCTCAACAATCTCTGCTAGCCTGCCCTCTCCTCTTCCTCAACAATCTCCTGCTAGCCTGCCCTCTCCTCTTCCTCAACAATCTCTGCTAGCCTGCCCTTTCCTCTTCCTCAACAATCTCTGCTAGCCTGCCCTTTCCTCTTCCTCAACAATCTCTGCTAGCCTGCCCTCTCCTCTTCCTCAACAATCTCTGCTAGCCTGCCCTCTCCTCTTCCTCAACAATCTCTGCTAGCCTGCCCTCTCCTCTTCCTCAACAATCTCTGCTAGCCTACCCTCTCCTCTTCCTCAGCAATCTCTGCTAGATAGCCCAAAAACCTGACCCAACGCTCCTCTCCAGTTGACAAGCGCTGGGCTTGGCGAGTACGGGCGTTGGCGGGGCAAGTCCCCCCGCTACCCCGGCGTCGCTTATTCGGCCGTTTCTACCACCGAAGATGTCGAGCCCCTGATTCTGGTATTAATAGGGGATGTTGTGTTGTGCTTTCGTGGGAATGCTATCTTTTTCTTAAGAAAACGGTCATCGTACCATTTGACCATATGCCAAAAACTTTCAATTTCGGGGCTTAATAACCTTTATGGTAGTATATTTTGTGACGTGGTTGGTGGGCGTGGCTTTTTGACGCTGTAATGTAATGGTATCATTTAGGAAAGCACGCGCCGACGGAATCAAAGCGCCTCCTCAGACGAGCCGGTGCTCTCCAGTGATGAGGACGACGACTTGAAGGTTGGTTCGCTTCCTTACTGTAACCCTCTTATGGTCGAAGTGGAAATTCCGTACGTGAGATAGCACATCTTGTGCAGAATTTTTTGCTGATTCCGAATCTGTTTTCAAAAGTTGCGGAACCCCTCAGATTAAAAAGTTACAAGCGTTTTAAATACCCAAAATGTCACAAATCGCTTACTTTAAAACGTTCTAAAAATTCCGTAAAATACTTTTTGGGGGAGAGTAAAGCATTTTCCGGGGTAAAAAAACATGCTCTTTCGAATGGACTACCGCACGAACCCGTAGCTCAAAATTTGCAAAAAAAGTTTTTTTTTGGCGGACCCATGCCCAAGATCGTCGATTTTCAAAATTTTTCGAATTTTGAGCTACGGGTTCGTGAGGTAGCCCATTTCAAAGAGCATGTTTTTTTACCCCGGAATATGCCCTACTCTCCCCCCAAAAGTATTTTACGGAATTTTTAGAACGTTTTAAAGTAAGCGATTTGTGGCGTTTTGGGTATTTAAAACGCTTGTAACTTTTTAATCTGAGGGGTTCCTCAACTGTTGAAAACAGATTCGGAATCAGCAAAAAATTCTGCACAAGATGTGCTATCTCACGTACGGAATTTCCACTTCGACCATAAGAGGGTTACATTATTAGGCTTGGGCTTAGGCTTGGACATAGGCTTAGGGATGGGCTTAGGCGTAGATCTCAGGTTTGGGCGTTGCTTATCCGTTACTCAATCCTGCTGTCACTCTCCCTTGACCCCTATAACAATTTTTTTCAGCACCCCCAATCCCCCTCCCTCACCCCGGGGGAAATGATGAAGAGCTCAACGTTCTACTTCCTCTTCGCCGCCCTATTCTGCTGCAGCTTCTATGCGAACATGTTCTACAACTTGTACAAGGTTTGTGGGCAGGCTAGCAGAGACCATTAGAGAAGAAAAAGCAGCTAACAGAAGACTCTGAATATTTTAAAGGGCCGTGAAAATGAGCTATTTAGACCTACGCCGAGACGTTCATCAGCGACGACTTCTTTCTGGCGCTCTGCTTCTCGATCGGGAGCGTGGCAAATGCGATTGCGAGGATTGGATGGGGATATCTGTCGGATAAGACAAGCTTTCAGGTAAGGTTGTCTTTAGGTTAGGCTTAGGCTTAGGCTTAGGCTTAGGATAGGCTTATGATTAGGCTTAAGATAGTCTTAGGCTTAGGCTTTCCACTCTCAACTCTTTCCAGCTGACAATTGCCATCGCGTGCTGCTCCGCCTCCGGGCTTTTGTTGTCGATGCCGCTGACGCAGCACTTGGGGCAGACGGCTTATCTTATTTGGGTAAGTTCACTTTTGAAAGATACAAAAACACTAGAAAACGGCTTTGAAGGAAGAACCCCGTTTTTTCAGCTGATCCTGCTATTCATTTGCATGGCTGCAACACACGCCCTTTTCATCACGGCGGCCGTGAAGTGCTTCGGGCCCAAATATAAGGGCCCAAACTATGGCCTGCTCATCTTCTCCACGGTAAGTTATGAGGGCAAGTTAGCAGAGATTCTTGAGGAGGGGAAGAGTTTAAGCTTAGGCAAGCTAACAGAGATTCTTGAGGAAGGGCGGAGTTTAATCTTTTTGTCAGGCAAGCTAGCAGAGAGTTTTGAAAAAAGGTAATCTGAGATAGGCAAGCTAGCCGGGATTCAGAGATCTTTGAAGCTAGCTCCAGCTACCGTAATCTTCCCTTTTTAGAGCTGTTCCGGGACGATCCTCTCCATAGCCTCAGAATATTGGCTTCCGCTGATCGGCTACAACTGGGCCTTCATCATCACCGCAGCTTTTCCCTTCACCGGTAAGTTTGGCGTCCGAAAACGCACATTAAGGATAGGTATAACCTAGCTGAATTTAAATAGTTTACCCTAGAAATTTTTTTTAGCCTTCGTCCTCACATCGACAATCCAGTACACCAAACACGGCCATTACATCTGCTAATTGGTTGCGAAAGAAATCGGCTCTTTACCTAAAATCTGATTCTCGACACCGTTTACTGCCGAAATTGTTTTTTAGAATTTTTTTTTGTGGATTTCAACGGTTTTTAAGACCTTTTCTTTTAAAAAAAGTTGTTCGATATCGTTACCTGCCAACAAATTCATTTTCGAATAATTTTTTTGTATATTTTCAAAGCTTTTTGAATCAGCTTTACCTTTCGCCTGTGATAAAATCACGTCAAAACACATTTCCTTTCTCTCCCTTTAAACAAACCACTACGGGTCGCCCCTCTGTCGCTTACGGTCTCAACGTTTTTACCCTGTTTTTGGCTGCTTATTGCGTTTTTTAGATTTTTTTTGATGTATTTGAATAAATGCAAATAAATAACCTTTTTCTGAGTACGCTATGGCAAATTTTTATCCTCCCACACGAGAATAAAATTACGCAGCAATCCAATTCACAGGCGGTACGGTCCGTCCTTCTTGTAGTTGGGGTTGAAGCTGAATCGGGAGTGCTTTGCTTTGCTTAGGCTTTGACTTAGACTTAGGCATCGGCTTAGGCTGAGGTTTGGGCATAGGCTTAGGCTTCGGCTTAAACTTGCTAAGCTTTCTGAAATTACTTACCCGTAAGTAGGAATGCTGTACAAGTCGCCGCTCCAGGTATTCCCAGCCTTGAACAATCGATCATAATATCCGGTGCGGGCGAACCGGGATGGCGCACCGCTCAGCGACGTTGTAAAGTCATCGACTTCGGCTGAAAAGGTCCGGATTTACTATCAAAACGTCGAAAACCAGAAAGTTTCATAATTCACAATGTCGAAATTCAGAATGTCGACATTTTTTGCATGGGATTTCGAAAATTGTTCCGGAAAAGTTAGCTTATGTAAATTTCGACATTTCGATTAATTTTTTTGTACCTGCTCGCTCGGCCGAATCCTGATCGATGCACGGGTAGTAGCTACGATAGTTATACCTCTCAGGCAAGCAGGGCGGGACCGCCAGTTGGATGGAAACAGTAAGAAAACACAGGAAAATTGAGATCAAAGCGAATTGCATCTCGATCGATGGGAGATCGAGCCCGGGAGCGGGTGATGGGTGCAAGAACTGGCTTTGGACAGCCCTTGGCAGAGCCAAAATTTTTGTCGTGTATGTAATTTTCCACGTCTCCTGGTACTCACAGTCAGGCTTGGGCTTAGGCGTAGGCTCATGAGGCTTGGGTTAGGCTTAGGCTTAGGCATATGCTTAGGCTTAGAGGTCGACCCGAACCCTAAGCCCCAGCCTCAGCCTAAGCATAGCCTACCATGCTAATTTTCAAGAATATAATAGTATCCCTTGGCTGCTGAATCGACCTCAAAACGTACGCCCAGCTCCCCAGGCCTGCAGTGCATTTTTGGTGAAAAATTTGCAAAAGCCCCACCCACCTCCAACCCTAGGCCAATGATTACAAGCAGGGCACGGGGCAACAACTGAAACTTTTCGACTTTTCGCTCCACAGAATCAGCCGCTTCCCGGGACCGTAAATCTCTCCAAATTCTTTGCCTTATCAAGGCCTTTTTCGGGCTGACACACACACGCGACCGCTAATTTACAGGTTTCCCGGCGCTGTTTTACAGGAACTCAGAACAACAAAGTATGAAATGTGCCTCAAAATCTTTGCTGGATGGCCTAGACCAAGCTCTTGCTCCTGAAGAATCTCTGCTGGTTTGAACAGAAAAAGCTTTTTTTTCTCAAAAATCTTAGCTCGATGGCCTAGCCCAAGCTCTTGCTTCTAACGGAGATCTTCTAGCCTTTCCAGAAAAAAAAAAGATTTTTTCCACAAAAATCTTTGCTAGATGGTTTCGCCTAAGCTCTTGCTCCTCCTCAACAATCGCTGCTAGCTTGCCTAGGAAAAAGTTGGTATCCTAGTCTCTGCTAACTTGCCTGCTCGAGCGCCTCGTCTCCTCTAAGAATCTCTGGCTAGCTTACCTACTCGAGCTCCTCGCCATCCTCGACTTCTCCAAGAATATTTGCTAGCTTACCTAGTTCAAAAACCCCCTTACCCTCCACCTTATTCAAAACTGCCCAAAAACGCTCCTCAAGAGATCTCGCTCGTTCACCCGGCCTACCCGACCTGTCACAATCCCCTTAAAAAGTCGAAAATCCACCCCCATTCGTGTATTTAGTGTTGTTTTGTGATTGTCACTCGATGTACCCTCGAAAAACACTCGTAATCCACCCCAGGAACGCCCGATTTTCGATTGTTTATCCGGGGGGGCTGATGTTCCGCCGCGCATAAATATAACACTTTTTAGGGCGCCAAAAAAATTCCGGGGTGCCATTACCCGGAAATGCGGCTCTCAAACTTGTGGCAATGCGTCATCGCGGAATTTGTATGTACGACGACGTTGATTGTGAGTTTTTTGGCCTACTTCTAGGTCTATGCGTAAGCTTAAACCTAAGCCTAAGTCTAAGCGCAACGTAAGAGCAAGCCTAAGCCTAATTTTAAGCCAACAATTCCATTTCTTCGGCACGTCCACAAACGCGATGCTGACGCTGGGAAGGGCCAACGGGAAGGATTACGGTATTTAGGGCAAATTACAGTAATTATTAAAGCGTTTTTCAGGCGACTGGTTGGCGTTGTGCTGCGGCTGGGCCCTCGGGTTGACGCTGAGCGTGCAGTTGGGCTGGAAGATTTCTGGTTTGTTCAAATTTCCCTCGATCTCTCTAGCTCTCTCGCTCTTCCTCTCTCTCTCTCTCTCTCTCTCTCTCTCTCTCTCTCTTGTGGTCATAGACCTATTATTAGGATCCCACCTCAACCCAGCCGTCTCCCTCTTCGCCCTGACGACCAAGCAGATCGGCTTCAAGCGTTTTGGGCTTTACTCGCTGGCCCAGCTGCTCGGCGCCTACGTCGGAGCAGGGCTTACCTTTATAGAGTATAGAGGCAAGCTAGCAGAGATCATTTGGTGATGGTTACTCGTGACCTAGAAGCGATCAACCATCTCGATAAGGGTGTTCGTCAGATTTCCGGAAGCGCAGCTACGGCGGGAATTTTCGCCACATTCCCTCAGGAGTATGTCTCGATTGCAGGCGGGATGTTTGATCAGGTTTGTGATATTGTCATCTCTCTCTGTCTCTCTGTCTCTCTCTCTCTCTCTATCTCTTTTCACAAGCCATCATTTAGATCCTGGGCACCATAATCCTCGTCTTTTTCATCGGGTCGATCTGCGATCCTCGAAATGGGCTTCCAGACTTTTTGAAGCCGGCCTTTATCGGGCTACTCTTAACGCTAATAGGAATTACGCTAGGTAAAGACGAAATACTAAATATTGCCTTCACAATCCCTTTCAAAACCACTTTTAGGGATGAACACCGGCTATGCGATTAACCCGGCTCGCGATTTGGGGCCACGATTGTTGTGCTGGACAGCTGGATATGGGGAACGGCTTTTTCAGTGAGTCAAAGTTTCATAAAGGATATCTGCTAGCCTGCCTTCTCATCTTCCTCAACAATCTCTGCTAGCCTGCTTGCATCTCGGATCTTTTCCAGAGACCTCAGCCACCTCTACTGGATTCTCGTACCCGTTATTGGCCCCCTTATCGGAGCCGTTTTGGGTGGCTGGCTGTACAGGGTACTGCAACGGAACCTTCCGCATATTTTTGAATCTAGGGATATCAATATCTCACCGATGAGGCTAGATGCCTGGCTGCTGAAAACGAAAAGCCAGAAAAATTCGATGTATAAAGGTTTATTGCGGTTTGATGAAGCATGGAAAAATAAGCAATTGAAGAGGGTAGAGACCAGACTTCAGCCTAGGCTTAAGCTTAAGCTGAAGCTTAAGCGTAGCCTTGATTCATCGCGACAATCATCACTCCTTCACCTCAAAGTGAATGCGGAATCGCAGGCCGCACAGTAGGCCGACCTGAAAATCGGAGTTTTAAGGAGGCTCCCAAGGGCTAGAAAAGTTCAAAAAACAGATAGAAAGTAAAAGATCAGAAAACTAAAGTTAGTTAAATCCCCGTTAAAACGCACCTGCTTGTAGTCCTTGCCAGCAATCATGTGTTCAGCCACCTTATGCCAGATCAGAGCTGCGTAGGCTTGGAGCGGGATGAGCAAGAGGAAGACTGCAATTTGAATCTGGTTACTGTAATTCGAGAAAAGCGATTTAGGTGGCAGGCTAGCAGAGATTACTGAGGAATAGGAGAAGGCAGGCTAACGCAAGTTTTTGAAACGCCGAAAGACGTTATAAAAAATTACCAATAAAATGGGCGACGGAGCGCATCCCGGTGGCGAGAATAATGATGCAGGGAAGCACTGAGAGCCCAGCAAGTACGATCTAAAAAAATTTGGGCTTCAGAATGAGCGCTAAATACCAGAAGATATTTCAGCACGACGATGGGGCTGCTCTTCTTGGTGAACCAGTAGGCGAAGAAGATGTGGAACGAGAAGAAGTACAGGAACACACCCCCGAGCACGGCCACCACGGCAATCATGAAGTCGACGTCGATCCTGGAGATCATATTTGAATATAGATGTCTTTCCACAAGGATCTCTGCTAGACACCCTCTACGTACTCCTCGCAGACGGTTGCCCAGGCGACGACAGTTCCAGCGAGTAGCAGACCTGTCGCGACACAGAGGTGAATCTGGAAAGCTATTTTTAAAGCAAAGTATTTGGGAATGGGCTGAGGTTAGGCTATGCTTAGGCTTAAGCTTAGGCTTAGGCGTAGGCTTAAGTTAAGCTTAAGTTAGGCTTAGGTTTAGGCTTAGGCCTGGGCTGAGCGGGAAGAGCCTACCCGATCCATCATCTGCGCGGCCCATTCGCCGGTGTAGCGCTGCTCATCATCGGCCCACAGCTTTGTCTAAATTTAGGCATTCTAACAAAGATTATTGGGGGAAAACGGTCACTCTAGAAAATTGTTAAAAATCCAGCACTTACATATGGCATGTCAAGGGCTGCCGGCCCGGTATCCATTGTTTTTGGCGGAGTTGCGGCCATTCGTTCTGCAAAATTGAGATAGGTTTTTAGTAAATCGTTGATATGAGGCTTTAAATACGAAATCAATACATTTTAAGCCATGAACGGAGCCACGAAATACTGGGGAGTTGGGGTAAACATTCAAGACTTTAGAGCCACGTCCCCTTATCGAGAATGCGTTCGATTTTTTGAGTCATAAGACGCCGCCCGGGTCGGCTGATAAGAACACGCCCGGAATTGGACGTCATGTGGAATTTTTAAAGGGATCGGAAATGTTCCCGAAAAAGCAACCAAAATACTTAAGCTTAGACTTGGGCTTAGACTTAGGCTTGGGCTTAGGCTTAGGCTCAGGCATTGGCTTGGGCTTAGGTTAGGCTTAGGCATAGGTTTAGGGCAGCTGTCGAAAGTTCTAACGATTATCCCCGCCAGCTTTCAACCAGTTTTCAGCCGCCATCTGCACACTAATAGGGGCATCATTTCCGAATCCGTGTTCCTTCCTGTTTTTGGCCTTATTCCAGCCTTGGAGACCGGACGCCAAGGGCTGCACAAAGAGATTTCAGGGGGAATGGTGCCATTTGGTTGGGGGTGTATGTAACGTCTCTCTCTCTCTCTCTCTCTCTCTCTCTCTCTCTCTCGTTCCTTCCTGGTTAGGGTCCATTCCGTGTGGACAAAGAAGTCCCTGGCCGCCCGCAAATCGCCCGCGTGAACTGTGAACGCGCGCTACGTGCAGTTTTAAGAATTACGGAAAACTCCACCTTTTCCTTAACAATCTCAGCTAGCCTGCCCTCTCCTCTTCTCAACACTCTTTGCTAGCCCCCTTTTCCACAAAGAAGCCTGCTAGTTTCCCAGATATCCCCTTATTCAAATAATTCGTTCCAGTGGCCTCGCCCAAGTGCGACCAAACAAAACACCCCCTGTCGACACTAGACTTTTTTGCTTTTTACAGCCCTCAGCCCCGGTGCCAATCGCAAATATTTTCGTGCCTACCCAAAACGGGCGGATTGACAGTCTTGTTTTGGTCGCGTTAGTCGACCATCAGGACGCGAAATCTTGGTGAAGGTCGAAGGTTGAGAAAGTGGTTCGGGTTCCGAAATGGTCTCTGCTGGTTTGCTTGCTCTACACCGTTCCGGAAGGGTAGCAGAGATTGTCAAGGAAGAGGAGGGGGCAGGCTAGCAGAGATTGTTGGGGAAGCGGAGAGGGCAGGCTAGCAGGGATTGTTGAGGAAGAGCAGGGGGCAAGCTAGCAGAAAATGTTGAGGAAGAGGAGAGGGCAGGCTAGCAGCGATCATTTGTATTTTCACGCGGTTCTCCACATCTTCTACACTTCTGCAATTCTGCACGTGCGGGAGTTGGTCCCCCCGCAAAAATTTCTCGCCCGTTTTTTCTGCAATATTTGCTCTCCGTTCAGCTGGGCGGCTTCTATACTGCGCTCCGGGAAAGTGCACATTTCACTGCTCGGGGTATAGGGGATGGAAAGATAATAAGAGGAGAAGCGGAGAAATAGAGTTATCGAAAAGGGCATCGGGTCCACCGGGGTGGAGATCGGACTCGTTGGCCTTGGTTTTGGGTGTTTTAAAGGGTATTTGCTAGCTTGCTTTTGATGAAAAACGGGGCTTAGGCTTAGGCTCAGGCTTAGAGTTAGACTTAGGCTTACGCTTAGGCTTAGATTTAGCCTTAAGCTCAGACTTAGGCTCAGGCTCAGTCTTAAGATTACTCTATATTCTATTACTCATTGCTAAAATTTGACTACTTCCGTCCTGAATTCCCAAAAGCATCTCGGCTAGCCACCCTCCAGCATCTCAAGCGAGAGAGTCTCCCCCTCCAAGAGCCCGCAGAGATAACCAGCACCCAATAAGTGCAACCGGATCAGGCGCCAACCCCGAAAAAGCACAGATAACCCCCATCCCGCCCTTTCCCCCAATTTTCCGGCCACTTCCAGCACTTTTTTTCGGCGTTGCCCTTTCCGCGGCAGCGGCGGCCTTAGCCACGTTTTTCTGCACTTTTCCGACTTTTTTCTTGTCCTTTTATATGAGCGGGGCAGGGGGGCTTAAAGGGCATGGGAAGTGTAGGTGTACTTTAGGGGAGAGTGCAGGGTACCGTAGTCTAACGGGATTTCGTTCGGGATTTGTAAGGGTGAATTCCCATTCCATAAAAAAACGCTACTAGCTGGCCGGCTCCTAAAGCATCTCTGCTAGCTTGTCGTTTCCTTCAAAATTTCTGCTCGGATACCTCACACGAAAGAATACCTGTTAATCCGCCATTTCCTAAAGAATCTAAGCTAGCCTACCGGTGACTCTTTGGCTTGTCTTAGATTAGGTTAGTTTTAAGCTTAGGTTAGGCTAGCCTAGACTTAGGCAGAGACTTAGGCTTAGGCTGCGGCTTAGGCTTAGGCTTAGGCTTGGGCTTGGGCTTGAGCTTAGGCTTGGGCTTAGGACTAGCTTGCCTTATTGCCCAGGCGCCTTAGCGGGTGCACTTTGCAGTGGCACACGAAACATCACAGGCTGAAGAACACACCAACTTGCGGCCTCGTTGCGTCCCTAAAAACAACAGTGCATCCAGGCGTGTTTCGGAAAAATTGGCCATAAAATGATGGAAAGGGCGGTAGTGGGGATACTTTAGCGCCGGCGTAGTTCTCTGTCTCTCTCTCTCTCTCTCTCTCTCTCTCTCTATCTTTGCAATACTCGAGAAATCTGCTCGGTTTTTCCATTTCGGGCCATCGCCCCAAAATTCGAAACCACCAACCATGTGTTTCTACACTCCCGAACAGCAGTTCCGGACTATTCTGCACTTTCGGGTGTCGATAAACAACCACCGTACCCAGTACTACACTTCCCCTCCGATACCCACGAAATTGGGTGCCCTTTAAAGGGCAGGACATAGGCTACAGCAAAAATCAAGGATTACCCGTTGAACGGAAAGGCGAAAATGCACTTGGGAATGGCAGCAGATCGTTTTACGGTGAGGGTAGTCTAGCAGAGATTGTTGAGGAGGAGGAGAGGGCAAGCTAGCAGAGATTGTTGAGGAAGAGCAGAGGGCAGGCTAGCAGAGATTGTTGAGGAAGAGGAGAGGGCAGGCTAGCAGAGATTGTTGAGGAAGAGGAGAGGGCAGGCAGCAGAGATGTTGAGGAAGAGGAGCGGGCAGGCAGCAGAGATGTTGAGGAAGAGGAGCGGGCAGGCAGCAGAGATGTGAGGAAGAGGAGAGGGCGGGCAAGATGTAGAGGAAGAGGCAGGCAGGCAGCAGGGATGTTGAGGAATAGGAGAGGGCAAGCAAGCGAGCTGTTGAGAACGGAGAGGGCAGGCAGCAGAGATTGTTGAGGAAGAGGGAGGAGGCAGCAGAGATTGTTGAGGAAGAGGGGGGCAGGCCAGAGATGTTGAGGAAGAGGAGAGGGCAGGCTAGCAGAGATTGTTGAGGAAGAGGAGCGGGCAGGCTAGCAGAGATTGTTGAGGAAGAGGAGAGGGCAGGCTAGCAGAGATTGTTGAGGAAGAGGAGAGGGCAGGCTAGCAGAGATTGTTGAGGAAGAGGAGCGGGCAGGCTAGCAGAGATGTGAGGAAGGGAGAGGGCGGCAGCGGATGTGAGGAAGAGAGAGGGCAGGCAGAGGTGTGGGAAAGGGAGGGCAGAGCGGCTGTCGAGGAACAGGAGAGGGCAGGCTAGCAGAGATTGTTGAGGAAGAGGAGAGGGCAGGCTAGCAGAGATTGTTGAGGAATAGGAGAGGGCAAGCTAGCAGAGCTTGTTGAGGAACAGGAGAGGGCAGGCTAGCAGAGATTGTTGAGGAAGAGGAGAGGGCAGGCTAGCAGAGATTGTTGAGGAAGAGGAGCGGGCAGGCTAGCAGAGATTGTTGAGGAAGAGGAGAGGGCAGGCTAGCAGAGATTGTTGAGGAAGAGGAGCGGGCAGGCTAGCAGAGATTGTTGAGGAAGAGGAGAGGGCAGGCTAGCAGAGATTGTTGAGGAAGAGGAGCGGGCAGGCTAGCAGAGATTGTTGAGGAAGAGGAGAGTGCAGGCTAGCAGAGATTGTTGAGGAAGAGGAGCGGGCAGGCTAGCAGAGATTGTTGAGGAAGAGGAGAGGGCAGGCTAGCAGAGATTGTTGAGGAAGAGGAGACGGCAGGCTAGCAGAGATTGTTGAGGAATAGGAGAGGGCAAGCTAGCAGAGCTTGTCGAGGAACAGGAGAGGGCAGGCTAGCAGCGTTTCTTGGGAATTCTTCGCGTTTTTATCAGGATATTGAGTCATTTCCGTAATCAGAATTTCCGATACTATATTTTTCTTTATCCACCAGAATTATTTTCCGGCACTGAAGCCCCCTAAAAATCAAGTGGCCCTTGTTCTGCGATGCCCTCCGCGTTACGCATATGGGATTATTTTCGAAAATACCGAAAACTCGAGCGTGTGCCTTGACGAGTTAGGGCACGGGTACTACCACTCGATTGTTATGCGGTATTTGTGGGGGTTCTTTCGATTTCTCTCTTTCTCTCTCTCTCTTTCTCTCTCTCACTCTCGCTCTCTCTCTCTCTCTGCGCACACCACAAAAATACGCAAAAATTTTGACACTGGCATTTATGACTCAAAAATTATTTTCTAGTTTTACGCGAATAAGTGCATGCCATTTCAGAGGTTTGGGGTATAAATTGAGGAAACTCGGGAGGTGTGTTAAGGAGTCCGCACTTGAAATTTATGTTCGTAAATTGACTTCAAGTTCAAGGCAAGTTAGCAGAGACGCTTTGGGACCCCCCTGGGCGCGGTAAGCTAGCAGAGATTCTTTAAGATTTTTTCAGCGCCTGGAACCTAGCAGAGATGCTTAGGAAACCAGCTCTAGCCCGGGCAGGCTGGCGGAGATCATTTGGTGTCGATTTTGGGCATACATAAAGCATGCTAGCAGGCACGGCATTTTAGGTTTTTTAACGCAAATTTGCCATGAAAAGCCCTCAATTTTAGTTTTTTATTTTCAATTCAGGGCACGCTAGCAGAGACCCTTAGCCT